TGTGGAGTGAAGCTGTGGAACAGACTAAGTAAAGATATGAAGCAATGTCCAAGCATGGCGCAGTTTAAAAAGTGGTTTAAGGATATGGTTTTTACAGGGTGCAGGGAGGAGGTAGAGATTTTATAGGGTGTTTTTGTCCAATTGTTTCATGTGTGCGGGTGCACGGGTATGTTGGTATGGGTATATATATATCTGTAGGTTGTGTATCCTTTGAGGTGTTACTGGGGTTATTGAAACACTAACACTAATGCGGTTATGGTGTTAATGTCCTTTTAATGCGATTAACGTTGCCAGTACTACTTTAAATCCATCACAGTATGGCAAACTAACCTGTCTATCCTGCACTAACCTGCAGAGGATTTTCATGCAGCCTGTTTTATTTTGTGTTGTAAACTAGTGCTGGTACAAAGGGTCCAGGCGTACCAAGTTTAATTTTTATTACCAACTAGTCATGACAGCAAGCTCTTCAGCAGTGTCTATCTTCCTGTGAGACATAACCCATTATGTACTGGGATGACGTCACCAGCAAACATAAAGGAGCAATCCGACTCCAAAACTGACTTATAGCAATGAGCTGTGTTCAGGATCAGCATGTTAAACATATTGCAGAATATTACACAACCTTTAAATGATGCAGTTAGTCTAGTTTAGTTTGTTTTCAGCACGTTTCACAATATTTCTAGCCTCAAATCAGTTTGATGTGTAAAGGCACTCAGTGATGCAAAATAACTCCCCACAAATGTGTTAAACCAAAAGTAATGAGCCTTTTCTGAACATGTAAGAAGTAGAAATTAAGGATACTTGTTTAAAAATGAACAGAGTAAAAATAAATAGTAAAGTGAAGATGCCTGAAAATTCTTAAGTACTTCCCACCTCTGGCCACTGTGTACCTAATAAAGTGTCAGCCATGTTAAATATGATTCCCATGTTTATGTCCACAGTCACAACGACAATCAGTGGCACTGACAGAAAGATGAACAGGTTTACATAGGTTGAAAACGTGTTGTCTGAGAAAGAAACAAGGCTGTGAATTATTTCTGTCTGTGTGTGACAAAGAGGCAGACAGGAGCAGCTAACATTTGGAAATGGCAGCTTAAATACTTAAAACTCCCATTCTGTTGTTTGACAACATTAACAGAAAAATATGGTGAAACGTCTTCAAGAAACTCAAGGAAGTCCAGGCGCTTTTCTTTCCAAGCTCCTCAGTGTAACATGGAAACTTTCAGGTTCCTGTTGTCATGGCTGGATGTCAACATTTCCTCAGCTGCAGTTAAAAGTTTACGGTTTACGTCACCTGGCCTGGAGGGCGACAGGTCAAGTGTCCAGTAGTAATGCAAATCTCCACTGCCCTGATAAACCATTGTCTCAGCAGTTTCTCCTTTTCCTGCAGCTATCATCCCAGTGGATGTCGGAATTATTGAAATTCCAAGTTTTATCATCATATCTCTTCCCAATAGATTTACAGGACATGTGGAGCGCATCACAACTGAGCCCTGAGCTGTCTCATCTGTATTTGGATCACTGATCCACACTGGCTTAGAAATTCTATGTTGATTTAATTGACCGTTGGTAGATTTTACATAAATTGTGCCACTTGAGGGGTGTACTTTGGGCATGTGATCTTTCAAGACTGTTTTATCTGCTCCTGAGTCACAGAGAAAGTGGACAG